TTATATATTATATATATTATATATTATATATTATATATTATATATATTATATATTATATATTATATATTATATATTATATATTATATTTATAAATAATTTTCTATTATTTATTATATTTGTGTGTGAGAAACGTTTGTAGAAGAGATTAATTGAAAAGAGAAATATATACTGAGAAAAATATGATGTTCGACTTTTTTGCTCGCGAGTCCTGATTTGGAAAGAATTGGCAGACCGAAATTGTATTTTTCCTGGAAATATATATATCGTCACTTTCGCGCGTGATGAGTATACTCGTCGTAATAGGAAATATTGCAATTCCTTCATTGCAAGATAAAGTATTGGCATTTCTTCGTGACGAGTATACTCGTCGTAACGAAGAATATTACGATTTCGTTATGACGAGTATACTCGTCATGGTATGCAACGTTGTTATTTCTTCGTGACGAGTATACTCGTCGCGTCACAAAACCTTATTTTCCGTGACGAGTATATTCGTCATATTGTAAAGCGTCATATCTTCTTGACGAGTACACTCGTCACAGCATAAACTGTCGCTATTCCTTCATGACGAGTATATTCGTCATATTGCAAAACGTCATTTCTTCTTGACGAGTATACTCGTCACAGCATAAACTGTCGCTATTCCTTCATGACGAGTATACTCGTCACAACACAAACTATTACCGTTCCTTCATGACGAATATACTCGTCGTAACAAAGAATATTACCATTTCTTTATGACGAGTATACTCGTCATGTCACAAAACGTTATTTCTTCGTGACGACGAGTATACTCGTCAAAATCAGCTAACCGGTCACTGCGACAGATTGCTTGCAAGTTCGTACACGGAACACTGTCTTCAAGGTAGATTTCGAACAGAGAAATTTTCGCCGCGTAGAAAATCGACGGAGTCGAAAAGATGGTCGGCTCGCGATAGCGCGGAAAAATGCGTCGGGGCGCGAAGGTTAATCGGTGACCAGGTCTGGTCACGGATCACGAGGAATCCCGAGGATGGCCGGCCGGTTCCCTCTATAGCCTCCTCTCGAAACACTTGTCAGTGTTCCGCCGCGGTTCAGACAAATATCACCCATTAATGCGTGACTGCAGTTATGCGGGACCGGTCGAAAGGCCGCGCGTTCCTAAGCGGTGCCGAGTGTAATGTTCGAGGGACCGTGGATTGACCCTTTACGGTACCTCGGACGTCAATGGTTTAATTACGGCGGAGTTGTTTCTTCTATCCACGGCGATTTTTGCCGGTCTTGGGACGCGCTGCCAGATGCACATGGAGAGACAGAGAGAGAGAGAGAGAGAGAGAGAGAGAGAGAAATGTTCATGGGTACCCACCCTCGAAGGTCAGAGATCCGCCTGAGCATCTCAGCAATCGGTTGAGTGGCGTGTAAAATGGCCGACTTCTTGTCAGACACGGTTAAAATATCGAGAAAAGATGTTTCTAATTGCAGATCCACCGTTCCGGTAGAACGACCATCTGGGCCGTGCATGAATCAGTCTTTATGACGATTGGATCGCGGATTTTCTGCGGCACTGAACGAATAGTGGATGCGTCAGAAGTGGATACTGTTATACACACGGTAGAACCTCGATCACCGCGATGAATCTGAATTTCTCAACTTTGTAAGAATTTATTCGCGCCGATGTGCATAGTCGTAGTTGGTCTAGAAGCGAAAGACACGAAACACGGAAATGTTACAAATTTTCCACTTGAAAATTCTTCGCGCTGCAACGTGGAACATTTTTAACCAAACACTCCGCGAAGGTCTTAATACACTTAACATGTTAATATATATTTAATAATATATAACAATATTAATTATTATTATTAATTGTATATATTTATATACTATAGTTAATAGTATAGTTATGTTAGTTAGTTAGTTATAGTTATATAGTTATAGTTAATAGTATATATATATATAGCTATAGTTATAGTTATAGTTAATAGTATATATATAGCTATAGTTATAGTTAATAGTATAGTATAGTTAATAGTATACTATTATTATTAATAGTATAACAATTTAATTTCTACGCTAATCCATAAAAGTTTCTTAATTTTATTACGATTCGCAAGAGAAGAGAATGTGGTCGTTTAATTCAATCGACTAAAATACTTTAAAATACTTTAAAATACTTTTCGACGCGGCCGTCAATGTGTCAAGCATTTAGGTTACATAACCTCCCACACGTCATTCGACCGCATCGAAAGCCACTCCCAAAAACTGGACGCAAATTGGACCGAAATTCCGAATCGATCCAAGCCGAGGCTGGTGTTCGTACTGCCGGGTCGGATTCACCGTATAAATTGCGGCCGTGATAGAACGATGGTACGGTTTCCCGCGAAACTGTCCCACATCCGATGGCGTTCGTATGCTGCTCCGTGATCGGGCATCGTCTCGGCGTCGTCGTCTTCGGCTAGAACAGGCACGGCCACTGGCCTCTACCGACTGGCTGTCAGTGTACCTGCCGGCCAGACAAATTCCGGCCATTAAGCGTTCGAACCGTCGTCGTCGTCTTCCTTCGTCGTCCTCGTCGTCGTCGTCGTCGTCCACGTCGTCGTGTGTTGGCTGTGAACCCGGCCTCCTAAGGCTCCACAGTGCACCGCGCCGTTCCGCGCCGCGCCACACCGCCCCGCCGCTTCGAATATATGTAATGCCGGACCGTGGATTGACCCTTGCGGTACTCCCACCATCGCCGTCACCTATACACGGCGCTCGAGGCTCCGCACGGACGCGCCAACACAGCCGATCGAGAGCATGGAGACGTCCGCGGCTCTGTAGGCTTCGCGACCGTGGCCGAACGTGCGCGCCGGGGTCATATTCTCATCGCCGATGCACGCTGCCGTTCCGTTCCATTCCGTCCCGTTCCTACTCTTGACCGAGAGACAGTTCGTCCCGGTAGCAGTAGGGAAAAACAACTCTGTCCCCCCTCTCTCTTTCTCTCTCTCGATTTTTCTACCTTTCTCTCTCTTTCGATTTCTCTTCCTCTTTCTCGATTTCTCTCTCTCTCTCTCTTAATATCTCTCTCTCTATCGATTTCTCTGTCTCACAATTTCTCTCTCTATCGATTTCTCTGTCTCACAATTTCTCTCTCTTTCAATTTCTCTCTCTCTCTCTCTCTCTCTCTCTCCATTTCTTTCTCTTTCGATTTCTTTCTCTCTCTCTCTCTCTCTCTCGATTTCTCTCTCCCTCTCTCTCTCTCGATTTCTCTCTCTTTCGATTTTTCTCTCTCTCTCGATTTCTCTCTGTCTCTCTTGATTCCTCTCTCTCTCTCCTCATTCCTTCTGTCTGTCTCTCTCTCTCTCTCTCTCTCTCTCTCTCTCTCTCTCTCACACACACACACACAAGCTGACTGCCCCCCGTCCGATAGAAATCTGATCGCTCGTTACCTGCTCGCTCCCACCGCGCTCCCTCTCTCATCAGAGATATCGTGATCGTTTTTGCGCTGGGTCATCGAGGTTCACCGATGCATTCGAGCTTCTTGTCTGGCCGCGGATGCGATCGGTATGCCGGTTTCGGGAATGAAAATATCGATCCTCCGAGACCTAGAGTGTCTATCCGATGCGTGCTGGAAGCTCGAGCAGCATCGTCGGATTGGTAGCCGCTAATGACACCGCTTCTTCTAACATCGACTTTCACGCGTTTGCTGTTTTATTGTTCCCTTCGTTTTTATCGATGACGAAGTAATCGCTACTGAAGAGTAACGATTAGCGTACACAAGATATCCCATGATTATGTTAACACGAGGAATGGAAGTGATTCCTGAAGTCATTTGAAGCAACTTTTTCCTTAGCGAAAATACAATCCGCGGCTTCGTTTACGAGTTATTAACGAAAAAGCGCTGACCAATGAGAGGCGAGCTCGCCTAGCGCCAGGCGGCCAATCAGCAGAATAGAGCTCCGAGCGCTCGTTGACTCGGCCGCCTTGCGCCAGCCGAGCGCTCGCCTCTCATTGGTCAGTGTCTGCCGGCGCGCACGGCGGCCGAGCCAACGAGCGGTCGACGTCCTGTTCGGCTGATTGGCCGCCTAGCGCCGGCAGAGCTCGCCTCTTATTGGTCAGTGTTTTTCGAGCTTTTGCTTTCGCTGCATAGATACGGGTTCGAAATAAATAAAATAAAGAAACGAAAGAAAATAAATAATAAATAATAATAATATAATAAATAATAATAATTAAATAAAGAAAAGGTATATATTTACGACTCGATCCAATAATGTTAATAATGAATAAGCGAAGACCGAGCTGCTGAAAAGTGGATCACAGGTCCGAAAGATCGTCGAGTGACGCGAAAGCAGTTGCTGCTGCTGGCGAACGGAGAGGGAACCGAGTTTTATCGCAACGTTTAAAAGACGGATCGCACGTATTGTTCCCGATTGACAATTGTTCCCGTTACCGGTTACGGAATTTCGAACTTCGGGAAGCCGGCGCGGCGCGGCGCGGCGGAGGCGACAGCCGACAAACAACCAGGTGGCTCCGGCGCGTAACACAATCACGACGAAGCCGGCTCGGGACGAGCGGACTTCCCTGTTCGCCGGTTGGGAAAAAAAGCGGAAACGTCAATCGATCGAGTGCTTTTCACGATCCATTAACCATGAAAGTACCAGACCGTTCTTCTTAACGCGATAATACGTTCCGCGGTGTCGCGTTCTGAAATGGCCGGATGTTAGCGAAACGCGAGCCCCGGGTTTGGAAAGACGATACATAAAATGGCGAGAGGAGGGGGGTTTATACAGACACCGCGAGTTGTTGCCGAGTTTTACCACGAGCTTTATCCGTCCTTCGTCGGCCGGCCATTCGGGGGAAAAGAAACGGCTGTTCCTCCATATCGTGGTTCAAGATCGCCGACAACGGGGAGCGGGGAGGAGAAAGAGAACACTGTCACGGGACAGAGAGAAAACGGTTTCGCCTCATCGATCGACAGAATGGACTTTCGATACGGCACGCAGCGGTCCGGCGATGTGGCGATCCGTGGCCGAAATTATTTCAGCGTCGTTTCAAAGTTCAAGGTTATGGTATAGTAGGTCGTTGAATTCGTCTCGACGCCGGCTACAATATTGTCGAGTCGAAAATACGTGTTGACACGTTAAAAATCGTGGTGGCCAGCGTTTCCTATGAAAGAAAACTCGTTTCCGCGAGTTTTTATATTCGAGTACGTAGAAAAGTGAATACCGAGCAACTTTTGTTCGAAACATTTTTTAACGAGATCGTCGGGAGTGTCCGGAAAAAAGTGCTTTGTTTTGGAATCGGATACGTGCGTCGAGGGACAAGCGTGCTTGCCGCTTCGCTGCTTACCCCGGCGTCGAAACACACCTCCAGCTTTGTTTTTCGAATACCGCGGAGCCGACGGGTGCGGGGGGACGCGCTTGAAATTGATACGCCCTTGGTAACAATTGAATCGGCTTTCGTGCAAAGCGAGTCTCGTTTGAACGACTTTCGACAATTTTTCTGTAAGCCGTCACAAAGTTTAAATTGTTCTATGCGTTGCACTGTTTATACGTACGATAAACAATGGATGCAAGGTACACGAATAAATAAAATATACCAGCTTGCCGACGTAATATCATAATACAAAATTTATATATCGATAACCTGTAATAATTAATTTAAAAGACAAGTCCCTCTGAATTGTCATTACCAGGTCTTCGCAACGTTACATCTTATTGCTAGACCGTGGATCTTTGTGCAAAATAGAAATTTTCGCAGACGATCGTAAGAAACGGAAATGAAATAAAAATAAATCGTCTCTCTCAATAATTTTGATAAGTCGAGAGTGGCGTAATGAAATAATTAAATTCTCCTCACGTCCTCGCAATTTTATGCTTCAACCTCCTATTTTTTACCATAAATGCTTGAAAATCCGTGGTCTGCTTATCGCCATACCGCGTTGATCTTTACGCAAAATAAAAATTGTCTATCACGATTGCAACAAACCAAAGCAAAATAACGCTTCGTTTTCTCTCTTAATATATTCGATTGGTTGAAAATAATGCGGCAGCATTTTTTTTTTCAGGAACGCGTGAAACGATTTCTAAAACTACGAAGAGTTGTGAACCCGTTCGAAAGGAAAAAAGAAAACAATCGTTGAAAATACGAAAGTTGGAAAATCGACTTTTCGCCATGGATCGTTGCTCCGCCGAGACCATTGTGCGGCGGTTCTTGCGTCATAGCGCAAAGTCATCGAACCTGGGATGCGAAGGGTGCCGAAGAAGTCGGATCAAGAGCGCGTTAATTGACCGTCGATGACTCGATGAATAATTCGTTACAGATGTCTCGACTCACCGACAATGTTGCCGCACTCTCCTCCTGCGCGATCGGGCACCTCGGTTTCCTGTCGCCGCTGAAACCAACGGAAACGCTGTTATGAGATCTTATTTGTGCATATTATAAATAATATTTTTTTGTCAAACGTTCTAAATAAATAGAATCCTACTATACTCTTGGTATAATAAATCTTTAATTCAGCCTGCAGATTTTTTTACGGGATTTGAATCTGGGGATCGTAGAGGAAGAAGGCAATAATAATTAATTATTATTAATTAATTATATTTAATAGACATTTCTACACTATTCTGGCCTTGCATTTGGAATCGTTGACTTGCTAATATTTAAAAGTATGTGCTTTGGATTCCCATATTATTATCACATATTTTCACATATTTTCTTATTCTCTTATTTGATTTATTTTTTAATTAATAAGATATGATATGTGTTATTCGATAAATATAATATGCTCTAAATAAATATTGCTCTAATAAATAGTGCTCTAAATAATATTGCTCTAATAATATGCTCTAATAAATATACATATGCTCGAACACTAACAAACAAGTGGTATTTGATCTGAGTTTAATTTATTGTATTTTATTCTATCGTATTTTATTTTATTTTCTTGCTTTATTCTATATTCTATTTTATCTTATTTTATTGCTTTATTCCATTCTATTCTATTTTATTTTCTAGTTTTATTCTGTTTTATTTTATTTCCTTCTTTTATTCTGTTTTATTTTATTTTTATTTACCAGTTTTATTCTATTCTATTTTATTTTCTTGTCTTATTCTATTCTATTCTATTTCCTTTCACTTTCTCGTTTCATTTTATTTTATCGTACGAGAAAAAATTCGCCGAAAATTCGCCGTCGGCTTGACTCGATCAGGCATTTTCTAGTGGCAGGCTGTTGTTAAAGAGGGGGCCGTCAATTAGTTCGGCCCGTAAACGATCGGCAGAACAATCAAACGAATCCTTCGTCGAGGTTCTGTTTCCACGTGGACACACCGGCGGAGAGACAAGGATGGCCGGCGACGGGACGGCGTTAACGAGCCATTTACCCGTTACGCCTTAATTTGTCCAACCGTGCATGCTCTCCTAACGACGATCAATCGTCAGAAATAACTTTCTGGTTCATTTGCGGCCTCGGCGGATCGTTAAACCGGCGACAGACTCGAACCCGTCTCCGGCCACGATCGATTCGAAAAAAGAGTTAAAACGTGTCCCGTCCCTGTCCTGTCCCGCGTTGACGAGTACGGCTATCGACGATCGGATATACCGACGATCCTGCTAAAATGTTAACGATTCCACTACTCGGAGCGCTGCGATTCGAGAGGAATCGTTAACGTCGTCGATGCGATACACTCCACGCTGTTCCGCTGTCGCAATGGAAGAACCTTTGACACTCGAGTTATTTTGCTGTGCAGGATTTCACGGACAATTTCGGTCGGAAACATGATCGGAAACCTTCTGGGAAAAATAACTGTTTCGGAGGTGTATATTCGAGAGTTTCTGTTGCGAGATTCTGCCAGAAGATGGCGACTTTGTTCGAGGTTAGAAAAATTGCTCGCTGTGTTCAGTTTCATCTGTCGATCCTTAATTACTATTGGCGGACTATGAGACGGTTACCAAGTAGTTATTCAGAGTTATTCAGAATTGTTATTCGGAATTTTGATTCGGAATTATTATTCAGAATTTTTGTTCGGCATTCCTATTCGGAATTTTGATTTAGAATTCTTCAAAAACTGAACAGAAAAAAATAAATAAAAGAGAATCATATTTATCTTACAAAAAATATTACTTCGCCTATATGCGAACAAAAACATATTACATATATATATAATATATATATATTATTATTTATATATTTAGTACATCTTATTCGACAAATAAGAAGTAATAAATTATTCCCGAAAGCAAGCGAAATTCA